GAGGGAGGGAGGAAGGAAGGAAGGAAGGAAGGAAGGAAGGAAGGAAGGAAGGAAGGAAGGAAGGATCCAGGTCCACCCTAGTCCTTCTGTCCAGACCCAGCAAGTGACATGGACAGAGGAGCTGGCTCTAAAGCAGACAGGATCACAGGCTGCAGGCTGTGGGGTGCTGGAAGGTGGGACCCACAGTGCCCACAGCACTGTGGTCCTGAGCAGCAGAGGCAGAGAACACAGGATGACCCTTGAGGTGTCATCCTAAGCCACAGGGCAGGGTGGGGCATGCCAATGTTTCAGAAGTTCAACGCCCCCCACCCCCACCCCATCCTCCACTCCAGGCCGATCCATAGCCACACATGCCCTACGTCCGTACCCTCACTGCCAGGCAGCACCCACCTGCCCTTGCCATATTGGGAGCACAGGAGCCTGCCCTCTCTCCCTCCCTAGCAACTGGCTGAGCCGTTCTCTAGGTGTCTCACCTCCTCCAATTTCTTATGAGGAGCCCTGGAGTACAGTGGTCACACTGAGGCTCCCCTAGTCCCCACCAAGTTCAGTCCAGTGTCTCCCAATACAGCACGGGACCAGGTAGACTTGCCTTCAAATCCCACCTCTACCAGGGAAGCTCTGCCAGTAGGCAAACCAGCAACCTCTCCAGCCTCAGTTTTCTGCCTGTGGATGGGCTTTTCCTACACTCAGAAGAGGCAGTGCTCCTACTCCCACAGAAGTGACCGCAGCATCCAGCACAGGGCCTGGGGCAGTTCCACTCACATGAGTGAACAGAACCTGAATGCACACCCAGATGACCAATACAGGAGGGATGAGGGAGCCTAAGAAACCAGATCACCCTGCCCCACCTGAGTCCCCAGCATGCCAGGGTTATCTCCCTCAAGCCAGTCCTGCCTGGAACAGTTCCTCACTGGGGGATTCTAGGCAGGTGCTCTACTACCAAGCCACATCCCCAGCCCCTCACTGGGGGATTCTAGGCAGGTGCTCTACCGCTGAGCCACACCCGCACCCTTCCTAAAGGCTCCAGCCTGGCTCTCCTACCTATGGGCTGCAGGTAAATGTGTTTCCGGACCAGGCTCTGCTTCCGGAGCTGCAGGGAGGTGTGGAAGGTCTGGAAGTCCTCCGGGGCTTCTGGGCGGCTCAGGAGCCAGTCGAAAGCCGAGTGGATGAGCAGCGTGCTGAAGAGGGTCCTGTGCGGATTGTAGGCCTCAGAAAGGAAGAGCCTCTCAGCTGGGGAGAAGGCTGAAGTGTAGAGCTGCTGCAGAGCCGTATCACGTGAGACCAGGGCATCCTTCAGGGCCCGCGGCCCAAAGCTGAACTCCTGGGGTGGTTTGCACTGAAGCATGGTTTGTGGGTGGCACCTGGCCACTCCTTGGAGCTCCTGTTCTGGCCCATGAATCTCCCAGGGTACAGCCACGGTGTCTTCTAGAACTTTCCTTGGGGTTGACGAAAGTAGCTGGTGAGGGCTTCCAGTGGCTGAGGGCTGATGTGGCCTGGCTCTGCCTGGTGCTAGATCTTCCCAGAAAAGCAAGGGAAGGCATGGGCGCCTTGGGACCTACTGACACCCTGCAGGGACACACAAGGTACCATGATCACTGCTCTGAGCAGGCTTTTGTGGTAAGCATGGGGGTGAGAAGGGGGAGCTTCCCAAGACCTGGCATCAGAATCATCACATCTGCATCCCCCAGCCAGGACCAAAGATGCTGGTGTGTGTGTGTGTGTAGCCGTGTGGAGGCTGGAGAATGACATCAAGTGTCTTCTTCTGGTTTTTTTATTTATTTTTGTTTTATATGTGTGAGTGTTTTGCCTGTGTGTATGTAAGCACACCCATGTCATGCAATGCCTGCAGAGGCTAGAAGAGGACATCAGATCTTCTGGAACTGGAGTTAACAAATGATTCTTAGCCACCATGTGGGTGCTGGGAGCTGAATCCTGGTTCTCTGTAAGAGCAGCAAGTGCTCTTAACCGCTGCACCATCTCTCCAGCCCCTCTATCTTATTTTTTGAGGCAGGTTCTTTCACTAAACCTGGAGTTCATCACTTCATCTAGACTGGCTGGCCAGCAAGCCCCAGGGATTGGTTTTTACCTCCCCTGCCCTGGGATTACAGGCATGCACCACCACACTCAGCTTTTTACATGGGTGCTGGGGTTCTGAACTCAGATCCTCATGTTTCTGTGACAAGCACCAGTCCTATTTTATCTCCTTGCTCTCTAACAGGCTGGGTGCTGCAACTGGAACTGAGCAGGGGAGCATCTCCTCTCCTCACAGGGTATGTTTCCATGGGATTCCAACTCTGTTTTAAGCCCACAAAAGAAAGGGGCCTGTGCCTGGCGTGGTGGTGCACGCCTTTAATCCCAGCACTCAGGAGGCAGAGGCAGGGGGGGTTTTTTGAGGGCGGGGGCAGGCTGGGCTCCCTAGTGAAATCAGGGCAGCTCGGGGTACACAGGGAGCCCGTCTCTAAAAACACAAAAAAAAAAAAAAAAAAAAAAAAAAAAGAAAGAAAGAAAGAAAGGGGCCTGTAACAAGGCCCTCCCCCTGCAAGGCAGTGGGAGCCCCTTTCAGACAGAAAAGCCAGGGTCTGCTCCCCGTCTTTGCAATCACAAAACTCACCCTATTTCCATAAGGGACTCACCCAACCCTTCCTCCCAAACTCAAGCTTCCTTGTGGGAGCCCTGCATGTGCCCAGGTGCTGTCCTCGGTGGGGATGGGGGAGAAGCAACCCAACAGCCCAACACCCAGAAGTTTCTAGAGCATGTGTGAGGGTTTTGAGATGCAAATCTAACAGTCAGGAGTGGATATGGGTGCCAACCATAGCGAGCTGTAACTGGGAGGCAAGGAAGGTTTGGAACTGCTGGGCTGGCCAAGTAGGGCAGGCAGAGGGCTGTGAGCCGTGGAGTCACTACCAACCTGAGGTCTCCCATGATCCAGGAACAAGGACTGGTATTCCGGTGTGCTTGTCAGGTCATGCTTAGCTCCAGCAACAGCCTGCTTTGGGCTTCGCTTTACATAGAATTGCAGAGTGGTCTGCTTTTGGGTAACACGTCTACACAGAATACTGCCTGCCTTCCCTGCCCTGAACCCGGCCAGCTCCCAGAGGGGAGGAGGCCCCCATCCCAGAGGCTTGCAGGCTGAGGAGCACCTGACTCCTCCTACATCTCACCAACCTATTTTTGTTTCTGGATGCCAGTCACACGACCTGCTTATGGGCTCCTTGCCCTTCCCCAGACCTGCTCACAAACATTGGCACACCCAGCTGAAGCCAGGAGCTCTGTCTGCTCACAGTGACCTCAGAATTATCCCTCAATGATGTGACTAGTTTAGATCCTTTTTTGTTCAGTGCTTGAAATGGAAGCCAGGAATTTATGCATGCTAGGTAAGAACCCTATCCCCAAGTCATGCCCCAGCCCTTCACTGGGGGATTCTAGTCAGGTGCTCTACCCTGAGCCACACCCCAGCCCCTCACTGGGGGATTCTAGTCAGGTGCTCTACCCTGAGCCACACCCCAGCCCCTCACTAGGCATGCCTTCTGCTTTTGAACCACACCTCCAGCTCTGTATCCTCATGTTTTGATCTTCAAGCCCCTTTTAAACTATTGAGAATCTCCAAGCGCTGTTTTTTGTGCTCCTGTTATCTAGCAGTATGTATTGTGCCTTAGCTGAAGTCCAAAGAATGTACCAAGCTACTAAGGAAGCTGAGGAAGGAGGACCAAAATTCAAGGCCAGCCTGGGCTACAGAGCAAGTTCAAGACCAACCTGGAAAACTTAGACCCTGTCTCAAAATCTAAAAGTAAAAAGAAGGCTGGAGATGTAAGATATTCGCCTAGTGTATAAGACTTAGGGTTTGAGCCGGGCCTGGTGGCACACACCCTTAATCCCAGCACTCAGGAGGCAAAGGCAGGCAGATCTCTGTAAGTTCAAGTCCAGCCTGGTCTACACAGTGAGTTCCAGGCGAGCTGGGGATAAAAGGAGACCCTGTCTCAAAAAAACCAAAAAAAAAAGAAAGAAAAGAAAAGAAAAGAAGAAAGAAAGAAAGAAAGAAAGAAAGAAAGAAAGAAAGAAAGAAAGAAAGAAAGAAAGAAAGAGAAAAAGAAAGAAAGAGCTGGGTTTAATCCTTAGTACCACACACAAAAAGCAACAAAAAAACAAAAGCAAATCTGTAAAATCTACAAAGTAGCTGGCCTCATTGTACATGCCTGTAATCCCAGTGCTTTGGAAGCTGAGGCAGGAGGATGGTAAGTTTGAGGCTAGCTGGAGTTACATAGTGAGTTCCAGGCCAGCCTAAGCTACATACCAAGGGCCTAGCCCAAACATACACACACACACACACACACACACACATGGCCAGCAAGATTGCTCCGTGGGTAAAGGTGCTTGCTGCCAAGCTGAAAACCTGATTTCAATCCCCAAGCCCTATATGGTGGAAGGAGAGAACCCATTCTTAAAAGTTGTCCTCTGACCTCCACACATACACCATAGCAGGTGCATGCCTACACACATATACACATACATACATACATACATACATATAGACATACATACATAAGCAGCAAAGAGAATAATCCCACAAAGCCACCACTCCAAAGCCATGGGAAACCCTAGACTTTGCTCTGGAGAAAGAGTAAATGACAGGCTCAGTCCTGTTGTGGAAACAGATTAACCTCGCAGGTTCTCGGCAGAGGCCCCCATGTACCCATTTATGGTCCCCAGAATACACTCAGAGTCACTGTGCTTCCCACTCAGGAGGGCTGCTTGTGCACCCACACATGCTCAAAGCATCTCTTCAGAAAGCCTGAGTGGTGAAACGCCTCTGGAACCTGCCCTGGACATGGCATCACCAAGCGGCCCCAGGATCCAGGGCTTGGAGGGACCAGACAGACCAGCTCCAGATGGCACAGGACAGATGGCACTGGTGTGGCAGTAATTCTGGTATACCTAGCACTTGGCAGCTGAGGCAGGGGGATGACCATGAGTTCAAGGTCAGCCTGAGCTATATAGTGATACCATGTCTCAAAAAACAAAAAGAGGCACTGGAGAGATGGCTCATCAATTAAGAGCTCTTGTTGCTCTTCCAGAGGACCCAAGTTTGGTTGCCAGCACCCATGTGAAGCAGCTCACAACAACCTGTAATTCCATCTCCAGGGGATCTGATGCCCTCTTTAGGCTTCCCTGAGCACCTATACACATGTGGCAGACACAAACATACATAAATAAAAATAAAATAAATCTTTTTTATGTGTAGTAGTATATTGCCTGCGTGTACGTAAATACACTCGTGTCATACAGTGCCCGAGGTCAGAAGAAGGCGTCAGATCCCCTAGAACTGGAGTTATAGAAGGTTGTGAGCTGCCATGTGGGTGATGGGAATCGAACCCAGGTCCTCTGTAAGACCAGTCAATGCTCTTACCCACTGAGCCATCTCTCCAGCCCAAAAATAAATCTTAAAAGAAAAAAAATCAAAACAAACAGAGAAACAAATGACACCAGGCAGAGCATCAGTGGGATACAGGAAGTGATGGGAGCCGCCTTGCAATAGGTCTGGCAGGGTCTGAGACTGGCATCAGCGCAAGTAAGTCCCTCTGTCACCGTTGTGACCCTCTCAATGGGGACTGATACCCCGGATGTCTACCCAGACAGCACTTCCTCTTAAGCAGCCCTTGTGGTCGGGTCACATTCATCTTCTTGCGTCACTAGAGGAAACCCCTGTTCCCACTCTCAGGCACTGCCTCAGTTTTTCCACCCTGTAGGTCATGTCTGCTCAAGACCACTTTTCAGTGGAGACTGAACCTAGGGGAGGAGGTGGCCCTGGCAGCCAGGACACCCACAGATGGAGCTGCAGGGGCTATGGAGGGGATCCCCACCCATTCCACCCATCCTCAGCCATGCCAAATGTTCCCCAGAAAAACCTCCCAGATGACCCCTAGCTGCCCTCCTTGTCTTAGTCTGTACCCCCCCTGCCAATCTGACAGCAGCTGTCTGGTACCCTGCTGGCACCTGCTTATATCCCAAGAACCTGAAACAGTCAGAACTGTAGGTGCCACTGTTTCAGAGGGGGAAACTGAGGCTGGGAGATGCATGGCTACTGCTGCTGAGAGGCATGCTGGGGGGTGGGGGCTTCGATTCCATGAAGTGCCCTGCTCTAGAACCCCAACTCCAGCATGCTAATGTAGCTCAGCCTGGCCTCGAGCGCCCAGCAGTCCTCCTGCCTCGCCTCAGCCTCCGGGGTGCAGCACCACATCCTAGTTCTTCCCTCAGCTGACTTCATAGATGCTCAGCCTTTAGGTAGGAAGGAATCTTATTCAAGAATTTTTGAAGACTCTTAGCAAAACACCCAGTAGCTGCAGCAACCGCAGCACCAGTTTCGTTGACTGACCCCCAACTCTACAAGATGGCTTTCAGAGCCCCAGGGAGAAAGCATGCAAGATGTCTACGGTTTGGGCTTGGCCAGCAAGACTGGGTCTCTGTGTGGACCCCACTCTCACCTGTGCGCCCCAAATTCCACCTCCGTTTCCGTCTAGGAAGGGAAGGGCCGACATAGCTTGTGGGTAAAGTTCAGGGTCTCCCTGCAC